CTGGGCAAAGGACTGGAAATTTGAATCTTACATCTGACGGTGGCACATGCGTCTGTGCCTGTGAGGGGAAGAGGGCTTGAAACCACGGTGTTTCATGCATAATTCTGTGCTATTATACACTCACAGCGTCTCATCCTTTTGCCTTGCCTGACACAAACATTCATTTTTGTGGTATTATGTATGCCCCTAATGTGATATAAAAAGCTAAGCGTATCACCAATTGCAGTAGAGCACACTATGACTTTTTTCTTGTCTCTGCGGCAAGCGTTTTTTGGTAACGTTAATGTCTTGGGGTATTTTTTTTTTCTCCTGCACTCTACTCCAGATGATCTTCATCCTGGGAGGATTTCCTAGGGCAGGCTGAGCAGTTGGATGCTCTTCAGGAGAGCTACTTCTCAGTGTTTCTTACTGATAATGGAAAGAATCTCCACGCTAAAGGAAAATCCTTGAGATAATCCAGTTGAGATGTTGATTTGACTTTCAGCACTTGGTAATCAATGGGATTTAAAAGACAGCACTCGCTGCAAGAGTGCCCAGCCCTGGAGATCTCCATCCCTTCGGAGGGGAGGAACAATCAGGTTTCAGCTTCATTTTCAGAAGCTCCAGAAAGGACCTAAATCAGAGGGCATGTCCAACGTCACGAGACAATAGGACTTACTTTCGGAGATAAATGGGGCTGAAGCACTCCCCCAATACTGCCAGTTCCCGCTCCTTGGTCTTGGTGAGGCTGCTTTGCCACAGTAGTTCCATCCTCATCCCCATTCTTGGGGGCTGAATTATTTTCCAGCTGCCCCCTGCAATTCTGTAGGGCACCGTGGCCCCAGAAGGAGCTACCGGAGGCACTCTTTTTGGGGCAAAAGGCAAGAAGAATGGCCAAATGTGCCCCAGGGAAGAGTCAGATGTGTTCATGTTTCAGTAGGTGGCACTCCGTCCTCTGCCTCAGGGACCGGCGGGAATTTTGGGTGCATGGTGGAATGGGGTGTGTGTGTGGGGGGGTAGCATCCCACGGGTGAGACATGGTGACTCTCCAGGGTGAACTACAACCTGAGTTGGTTACAGCATGCTTTTTGCAAGTGTTCAGCTCATGTACATGCTGCTTTCCTCTGGATCTTCCTGTATTTTTAGTCTTTCCTTCTTCACATCATAAAGGTGTTGCTGTGAATATGCACGTAGGGACCGCATGCGGCTTTGCAGCCGGCTGTGTGCCATCGGCAGGTAGAGTCCCGTGGGTCACACACCTCCCCAAATCTGCACAAAGCCCCAACCAGCAGAGAAATGCATCGCAATATCCACGCGGTTCAACTTTCTAACCACAGGCTGGTCTGCTCCCCTAGATATTCTGGGAAAAGGGTAAGGATTGGCATTGAAGTGGATTAGGCAGGGGGGAAAAAAAATGCTTCCAGGAGGAGGAAAATGTTTATGTATGTACTCAGTGATGCATCTCCAGCTTCTCCGTCCGTGCTGTCCTGGCCGGCTGCAGCAAGGTGACATTTGCCTGTCAGTGATCCCGCTTGCTACCTGAGCCTTGATTGGCGAGCTGGGGAGATGTTTGCAGAATGGAGAGCTTTCGAATATGTTTTTAGCTTGGAAGATGGCAGCTGAGTGGGTGCATTTGGTGACAGATGATCCTTGAAAGGTTTAGAAGCAAAAGCTATTAAAACCTAGGAGCTGTGCAGAGAGGAAATATTGTGAGTATATCACAGCCTGTTCAAAGAGAAGAAACAGCCCTGTTCCGTGTGATTTCCATCAGCAAGCCATGGCACGCAGTGTTTTGGGGCAGAGAGGACGCCGTCTGCAGATGCTCTTTTTTTCGGCTTGCTGCTTACTTGATGCCCAGGCGCAGTATTGCCGTGGCCGGATCAGAAAAAGGCTTTGGGACGAG